TTGATGGTGAGTACATGTGGTGCTTGTTTTTCCATTCTTGGGATACTTCACTTAGTAGAATGTGTTCCAGCTCTATCCAGGAGTATACAAGAGGTGCTATATCACCATTGTTTCTTAAAGCTGAATAGTACTCCATGGTATACATATACCACATTTTATTAATCCACTCATGTATTGATGGACACTTGGGTTGCTTTCACATCTTTGCAATTGTGAATTGTGCTGCTATAAACATTTGGGTGCAGCTGTCTTTCTTATACAGTATCGTTTGTACTTTTGGGTAGATGCCCAGTAATGGGACTGCTGGATCAAATGGTACTTCTACTTGTATCTCTTTAAGGTATCTCCATATTGCTTTCCACAGAGGTTGCACTAGTTTGCAGTCCCACCAACAGTGTATGAGTGTTCCTATCTCCTCTGTATCCACACCAACATTTATTGTTTTGCGACTTTTTGATAAAGGCCAGTCTCACTGGAGATAAGTGATATCTCATTGTGGTTTTGATTTGCATTTCCCTTATGATTAGAGATGTTGAGCATTTTTTCATATGTTTTTTGGCCATTATTCTGTCTTCTTTTGAAAAGTTTCTGTTCATATCCTTTGCCCACTTTTTGATAGGGTTGTTTGATTTTTTCTTGTTGATTTTCCTCAGTTCTAAGTAGATTCTAGTTATCAGCCCTTTATCAGATTTGTAGCATGCAAAAATTTTCTCCCATTCTGTAGGTTGTCTCTTTGCCCTTGTGACAGTTTCTTTGGCTGTGCAGAAGCTTTTTAATTTGATCAGGTCCCATTTATTTATTTTGGTTGTTGCTGTGATTGCCTTTGGGGTCTTCTTCATAAATTCTTTGCCTAGGCCAATGTCTAGAAGAGTATTTCCAACATCTTCCTCTAGAATTCTAATAGTTTCACTCCTTAGGTTTAAATCTGTTACCCAGCGTGAGTTGATTTTTGTGAGAGGTGAAAGGTGTGGATCTTGGTTCAGGAGAGAATGTCCCATGAGCTGATGAGAAGAATGTGTATTCAGTGTTTTTTGGGTAGAATGTCATGTAAATGTCAGTCAAGCCCATTTGTTCTAGAGTTCTGTTTAAGTCCATTATTTCTTTGTTAATTTTCTGTTTGAAGGATCTGTCCTGTGCTGTCAGTGGGGTGTTGAAGTCTCCAACTATTATGGTGTTGCTGTCTATCAATTTGTTTAGATCAAGTAGAGTTTTTTTTATGAATGTGGGTGCACCTAAGTTGGGTGCATACATATTTAGAATTGTTATGTCTTCTTGTTGAACTGTACCCTTCACCATTATATAGTGACCCCTTTGTCTTTCATTACTTTTGTTGATTTAAAAACCAAGTTATCTGAGATCAAAACTGCCACACCAGCCTTCTTTTGGCTTCCATTTGCTTGAAATATTGATTTCCACCCCTTTACTTTGAGTCTAAATGCATCCTTGAAGGTTAGATGCATTTCCTAGAGACAGCAGATGCTTGGCTTGTTTTTTTGTATCCATTCAGCCAGCCTATATCTCTGGAGAGGGGAGTTCAAACCACTCACATTTATTGAGAGAACCGATAAGTGGGGTGAATTACTATTCATTCTGTTGGGTTGCATTTTGTTGCTTTGTTTTCTCTCTTGAGCCATTGTGGAATCTAGCCTTTGATCTTTAACTTTTGAGTGGTTTCACATTCGAGAGTGTTTATTGTGCTGATCCTTGTGTAATTCTGTTTTGAGTACTTCTTGGAGAGCTGGTCTTGTCTTGGTGAATTCCCTCAGTCTTTGCTTATCTGAGAATGTCTTTATTTCTCCTTTATATATGAAACTTAGTTTTGCAGGGTACAAGATTCTAGTCTGGGAATTATTTTGTTTCAGAAGAGTGAGAATGGGGCCCCAGTCTCTTCTTGCTTGTAGGGCTTCAGTTGAGAAGTCTGGAGTTATTCTCATGGGCTTTCCTTTGTATATTACTTGTTTCTTTTGCCTTACAGCTTGTAGAAGGGCCTCTTTAGTGGCTGTTTTGGTCAATCTGATGACTGCGTGACGTGGTGTCTTCCTATTTGCATTGAATCTCCCTGGGGTCCATTGAGCTTCTTGTACCTGTATATCTAGATTTTTAGCAAGGCCTGGGAAATTCTCTTCTATTAATTCTTCAAATAGCTTATCCAGCCCTTGAGTGTTTTCTTCTTCACCTTCTGCAACCCCTATCACCCTCAGGTTCGGTTTTTTCACATAATCCCACATTTCTTGTAGACTTGTTTCTTTTCTCTTAATTTTCTGCTCGATCTCTGTGACTGACTTATTTAATTGGAAGCAGTTGTCTTCAATCTCTGAGATTCTTTCTTCTGTTTGATCTACCCTGTTCTTGAGGCTTTCCATGGTGTTTTGTAGTTCCCTGAATAAGTCCTTCATTTCCAGGAGATCGGTTTGATTTTTCTTTAATATTTCAATTTCTTTAGTGAATTTTTCTTTCAAGTCCTCGATCCTTTTTGTGGTTTCTTTGTGTTGGTTATTCATTTTTTCTTGCATATCATTCAGTTTTCTTACAATCCATGTTTGAAATTCTTCTTTTGTCATTTTAGTTTTCTGAGTTTGGTTAATGTCCATTGCTGGGGAGCTGTTGTTCCTCTTTGGGGGTGTGCTTTCCATTTGAGTCTTCATACTCCCAGAGTTCTTTCGCTGGTTCCTTCCCATCTGGATCAGTTGTTCCTTCTTGCCTTTAGATTTTCGTTTGGATAATGACATTCCCTGTTTAGTCTCTGAGCCAGTAGGTGGTGTTTGTGGGTGAGGTTCAACCACACCCTTTATGATGAATCAGTAGAGGCAGTAAAAGGGCATGCAGGATGACCTCCCTGTCAGTAGGTGGCACTTGCAGGGAGGAGCGAGCTGCAGTGCTGTTTTTGGGTCCTGTAGCTAGCTCTTGTTCCTCTAGAGAGGCCCTCTTGTGCCTCAGGTGGTCGGTGGGGCCCTGAGACTTCCAGGTGCGGCATTCTCCACCTCAGTGGGGGCAGGGCTGGGAGTGAGTCTGGGTGGGGCTGGGTTGGGTAAGCCTGCCCTCAGGCTCCACAACTGCTGTTAGCAGGGGTCAAAGGTCTGCTCTTCGTTTCTGTGCAAAGCTGTCTGGAGGGGCTGAAATGGCTCCACTCAGCTGAAAGTCTGGGCTTGGGGGGTGGGGCTGTCCAAGACCCACACTCTGGAGCAGGTCTCGCTCTCCTCCACTCTCCCCCACTCCGTGGCCTCTCCCAGGCCTCTGCCAGCAAGCAGGACCTCAGGCCGATGCATCTCCCCTGGCCATGACGTGGGCCGGGAGGTTCCCTACCCAGGATCGCAGCCTGAGCTGGGTGCACAGCCCTCTTTTGGGAGGAGGGTTGCCACTCCGGCATGCTGATCTGCCCCTGAAGGCACACACTCCTCAGTAGGCTCTTTCACAGATCTCTCTTCTGTGCCCCAGGGCAGTGCGATGGTGACCTGGGTGTACGGGGTCTGGTCTGCAGGCCTGTACCCTGGGCCCTGGAGATCAATCCCTGACCCTGCCAGAGGGAGGGGTACTGGTCTCGAATCACCTACAGGGTGCCCAAGCTGGATCAGTTTCACTCCACCTCGGGATTTTTCCCACTCTCCTGGAGTCCCCAGGCCAGTAGCACCTGGGAGGGCTGCTGGGCAGGGAGCTCGCAGTCTGAGTACCCCTCAGTCTGCTGTAGGGCCCCCAAAGGAAAGGTCCGGTTCCTTGGGGAGTCAGGGATGCCTCCGTGTGATGGCTAAATTGTCTTTCTGGGCACACCCGGGTAGAGAGGGGGAAGGAGAGAATGGAGCACTATGGCTTCTGCAGATAGGCTCGGGTCTGCACCCGGGGAGGTGCCCCGAAGGGGCTGGGAGCCCGGCGCTGAGTCCGCAAGAGGCCACTGCTCGCTGGCGGCAGCCGTCTCTGGGCTGGTGCTGGCAGGTCTCTCCAGCCGCTCAGGAGCCACCAGTAGTCCGAGATGCAAGGGAGGGGGAAGTTATCTGCTCTACCTACCCTTGTCGCTGATCTCCAAGCCTCTCGGGGACCTTTCTCCTTCCAGTTCTCCTCTGCAACGTCTTCCCGTGGAGTCTCCTGTAGTTTCAGGCACCCTTCCTTCAGACCCTTACCGGATCAATTTTCTCTGCTAGTTTATTTTTTTTCTCTGTCTTCTAAAATTCATCTTTTTTGCAGAGACACTCTGACTGGCAGCTTTTCTCGTCCACCATCTTGGCTCCTCCACTTTCAAAGTTCTTGAAATACTGTTTATATCTGTTGTCTTCATTTTCTCATTTCCAGTTCACTCTTTACTCTTTTGAAACATGGCTTTTACCTTACCTCTCTGCTGTCCTGTTGAAGGCTGTCGGTGCCCCACTAATTATAAAACACAAAGATCTCTTATATTGTATTCTGGTGAACAATTTTTACAGCGTTTTATTCCTTTGAGAATCCTATCTCCACGTTTCTTTTCTTTTCCTTTCTGTGGTCCTCTGGGCTGATAGGAAATTGTACCGTCCAAGTATTCTCTGTTGCTTCTGTTTCTTCTCTGACGATCTCTCGCTAACTGCTCTTGAGGCAGATGCTTGAGAATGAGGCCCACTCTCTTCTCGAGTCACACACTCTCCACTGGCAAAGTCAATACCCCGCAGGAAGGGGACCGACGGGTCAGAACAGGCCAGGGACAGGGCTAAATGAGGATAGCGGGATACATAATAAACAATCCGCCTAGTTCTTCCAAGGCCCTATGCTATGGAGATTATTTTTTTTCTTCTTTTCCCAGCCCATTATTTTATATACATAAATTACTGTCAGTGATTCTACAGTCAAACAATTCTTGAGTGGTGTAACTCAGCTTTATGAAAGTATTCTACCTAGTACCTCGTGATGAAAACTCTTCTATCTTGATTGGTTATCAGTTGGAGGAGTTTCCAATCCTGGGGACGCTAGAAAACATACATACTTACACTCTGAATGAATAGTTTTTGGCTATGTTGTGTGAGGGCAAGGCCTAGTCTGAAGAGGCTGATGATTTTATCATCTCATTTTTTTCCTCTCTCCAGAATGGGTTCTGGGTGGGTCCCCTGGGCGGTGACTCTGCTGCTGAATCTGAGAGGGCCGCATTCCTCCCTGACTCAAGGCACAGACTCTCCAGGTAAGAACAGAGCAGTTGGGGGTGTGTATGCAAGGACTGGCACAGGGAGGGGACGCCTTTCCCAAGAGGTCTGTGTGCCTCAGCCCTGTTGAGGGGCAGGTTTCTCTTTCTCCCTCTCCTGCACCTGGGAGCAAATGCACTACCAGTAGAGAAGGGCCGTGCAGCCCTGCCCTAGCCTGGACCCCTGGGGCTCGGGTAGAGGTGTGATCCCCCATGTCCAAGTTGTTAATATTTTTGTTTTGTTCCATTATAGCTCTTTTTTCCCCCTTTCCTGACAATTGATTTTTATAAAAGAAAGTAAGCTGATCAGAAGGCCCTGGAAGTGAGGAGGGAGAGGGGTAAGAAAGACAACTAGTTAGGATTAGGAGGGTGAGGGTTTTTTGCCAAATGCCTGGATAGAGTGATCTGGATTATCTGGCACCCTCCTGAATGGGACCCCAAAGTAGCTCCTGTGTGGAAAGGTCCCTGAATTTTCCCCAGCCCCCACCCTCTCCTCCTTCAGCCATGTTGATGGCACAGAAGATAAGAACTTACAGCCCATTTCTCACTGAAGAGGAAAACTTGTCATCTGGCTTTGTGGAGAAGGTTCCACCTTATGCTCGTAGTACATTATCTTTACCATGTGCTAGGATATCACATGTAAAAGGACAAAAAAAAAAGAAATGTAAGAGGTCTGGGCCACAGACCAGACTGCAAGTGGCTTCTGACTTCAAAGAGCAGTGCAGGAAAGTACTTTGGCCGAACATTACCCCTTCCCTCTTCACCACGTGCCACGGGCTTCTGGGAGCAGGGACTTCCTGTACCAGAGCCAGGGATGCAGGAGGAAGGGAAACATTTTGTTTTGTTCAGGGTCCCTATCCTGTCAGTGTCGGTGGGAGGACTGGAGGCAGTCTGGGAATAGCTACCATTCTTCAGCTGGGAGTTGCTCTGATGACTGTGACTGTTTCGTATTTGTCCAAGGGGGGCATGTGTGGACAAATGAAATTGGAAACAAAGGTCGCTGCTTCTGCCATTTATTAAGCCCCTATTATATGGTCAGAATTGTGCTAAACAGTTTTGAGAAGGAAGAGAAGTTGAATACATTATCCTTGTCCTCAGGATACAAATTATTTGTCACTGTTATTTTTCTAGCTGAGGAGACGAGCTATGCACACACGAAGCAAGGTGAGGCCATGAAAGCACATATTTATGGGCAGAAAACAGGATGCGGTGTGCCAAGAACAGAGCCCTCTTTGCATGTCAAAGTTTCGTTAAATACAAAAGAGGAACAAACCTGGAGAGGATCCTTGTTTTTGAGAGAATAGAAACCACTCTGAGTTTATGGTGCCTGTTAAACAACACAATTGAAAAAAATCAGCACAGATTTTAAATGAGGATGAAAAATTCGGGCTGTAAGAGGACGTAGAGAAGAATATAAATGCTGAGAACGAGGAGGCGGAACCTCACCTGAAAGTAGCTACTGAGTGAGAGATGAGGTCATTGCTACGGCTTAGCCCTGCAGAGTCTGGAGGAGGCCCCTGAACTTAGAAATGAAAATAAATTCACAATTCACAAAGATCGATGGCAGTTACCTTCAATTCTTAACTGAAATGCCATTTCTTCAGGTCTTTCCCTACTTACCGACATTATTAACCTCATTTGAATTTCCCTTTGTCACGGTGGTGGCTCTCAAGTGCTTAGAGTTGGGTTAACCTACCCGGCAGGTTCGCAGCACGTGGTAATCATTGATCAGTTCAAGGCCTCTCTCCTCCTGGCTTGTCTGCGTTCCCGTCTTTCCTCTCCTTGGAGAATCCATTCTGAATGTGTCTTGTATGTCTTTATGTATGAGGGTGGCCTTTAAAAATATGTAGCATTGTTTTTCTACGTGCATTTAAATTTTTTTTGTATTTTAAAAATTTAATAAATGTCATTGTGCATGGAATTGCTTTCTGTTTCTTTTCTCACTTAACACTATGCTTCTGAGCATACAGAAGCCAAAAGGTCTCCTTCCAAATCCACTTGTTCTGCCATCATTTACCAGGTATGGGTTTTCCCAGAGGTAGGGGCTGGTTCACAGTCTTTCTTTCGGTTTTCCAGAAGATTTTGTGATTCAGGCAAAGGCTGACTGTTACTTCACCAATGGGACAGAAAAGGTGCACTTTGTGGTCAGATTCATCTATAACTTGGAGGAGTATGCACGTTTCGACAGTGACTTGGGGATGTTTGTGGCCCTGACGGCACTGGGGCAGCCTGACGCCGAGCGGTGGAACCACCGGCCGGATATCCTGGAGAGGAGCAGAGCGTCGGTGGATGCGCTCTGCAGACACAACTACAAGCTGGGCGCACCCTTCACTGTGGGGAGAAAAGGTGAGCTGGAAGGTGCGCCCTGGCGGGGTTCAGGAACGTCTCCCACACGAACCTGGCCATGGCCCTTCTTCCTTACGAGAAGCAATTTTCTGCTTTGGGATAAACAGATTACGAGCAGGGGAGTCTGTGTATGTATTCTGTCCCCAAGTGTGACTCACTCATTGTCCTCACTGGTCAGGTTACTGTGGCCTTGGTCTCTGACCCCCAAGGTTTCAGGGACTTTGAGGACCAGAATGCTCTCAAATACTAATAGAAGTGGTAATTGTGGTAGTAGCTCGTCAAGTTTAAATCCTCCCCACAGGCATTGACATACCCTGTTTCTGAGTCTTGGGGGTTGAGATTTCCCTACACTTCAGTTTCTACTTGACTGATCTGGGAAAGAGATTAGGGGTAGTGATAGTCTCTAAAGAAACTCCTGTCCTGGCTTGGTGGCTTTCCTTTACAGTGTTTCATTTTTCTCTCCCTTCCTAGTGCAACCAGACGTGACAGTGTACCCAGAGAGGACCCCATTCCTGCACCAGCACAATCTGCTGCTCTGCTCTGTGACTGGCTTCTATCCAGGGGACATCAAGATCAGGTGGTTCCGGAATGGGCAGGAGGAGAAAGCTGGGGTTATGTCCACTGGCCTTGTCACGAACGGAGACTGGACCTTTCAGACTACGGTGATGCTGGAAATGACCCCTGAACTTGGAGATGTCTATACCTGCCTTGTTGATCACCCCAGCCTGCGGAGCCCTGTGTCGGTGGAGTGGAGTGAGAATTAGTTTCTTGTACTCTGTGGGCCTGACTCGGGACCATATTGACTCAGTAGATCCTGTGTCACCTCTGCATTCACCTTGGTACAGAACGAATTCTTCTTTCCCTTGGTCTGGGAGAGTCGCTGAAATCAGAGTCCTTGGGTTAGGGTGGGAGAAAACATGGCGGATATCTATTCTCATATCTTCCAAGAAATGAGGAGGTCTAATGCCCTCATCACATGCTTCCAAACCTGGGAATTGGTTCCTCTAATACTTTGGTCTCAGTAGTTAGGGGGCATTCTTATGGGCTCTTAGGAATCAGTAACAGCTGGGCGGGGCTACTCTATGGGTGCAAACTTTGGCCTCAAAGAACCATTGCTAAATTTATCCTTTCTATAGATAGCATTTGATGTTGTGTCCAGTGCAGACTCTGGGATTTCAAGAAGGTGCACTGAGTACTGGGGAGTGTTTTGCTGACTTTAGGACCTGTTTCCTGTAGGAGCTCAGTCTGATTATCCTTGGAGAAAGATGCTAAGTGGAGTTGCTGCCTTCCTGCTTGGGCTGATCTTCTTTCTGGTGGGGATGCTCATCCACCTCAGGGCTCATAAAGGTAACGTGCCTCAGAGGAGCACCCTGATCCCCCCCTGCGGCTCCCCCACTTCCCACCTTCCCTAACACCAAAGAGTGGAGGCGAGGAAAGCTGACTCTGCTTCTCAGGGATCACTGGGATAATGTTTTCTGAAGCCCGAGCATTCTCAGGGGTAAGCAGAGATGGAGCTCTGACGGGCCATTCCCCATTCCTCAGGGTCGTCGTGACATTTGGTCCTAACTGGGGCAATTCATTCTTCTTTTGATTTTTTTCCAGGATATGTGGAGACGCAGATGTCTGGTGACGAGGTAATGTCTCTTTCCTTGTCTTCGGGTGGCAGATCATCCTCTTGGTTCTTTGGCCAGAGGGAGACACCGTGGGGTTAAGGAGGCATAAGGTTGGCTCTGGCTGGGTGGTTCTGTCTCCTGAGTCCCTGGAATGGGAGGGTGGGGCTGCCTCATGGACCTTTGTCACTGTCCTCGCAGGCCTCAAGAGCTGTTCTGCCCCCGCAGCCATGCTAAGGTACTCACTGAAGCTTCTCCCCCTGGAGCCCGAAGTAATAGCAAGTGGTCTGGGTCCTCGGCAAGGTAAAGGACGTTCATGAGGCCAATGTTCTGGGGACGAGTATTTTCCGTGATCCTTGGAGGAGTCCCGAACTGATTCTAGAGTTCCGTGTTTTGAGATCATGCATCTCCCACCCATCTGCCGTCTTCCTCCTACTTGTACATGTCATTAATCCCCATGGCCACTGTCCAGAAACTCCCCTCAAACCTAATGCCTTCCAGCCTCGAACTATTTACTTGTGCGTTTCCACAGTCCAGCCGTAACCCTGCAAGTCGCGGGGGTACCAAATGTTTCTCTCTTCCAACTGCAGTCTCCACAGTCTTCAGAAGAAAAATGCTCAGTCACCTGTTTCCTTTTCAGTGTTTTTAAGAAACTTTTTATTGTAAAATAAAACAGAGACACAGATAACCACCGAAAATATACAGTTTCATGAATTATTTAAGGCGAAACCCCTGTAATCACAACTTGGGTCAAGGAACAGAACTCTGCCATTCACAGGAGTCTTTATGTGCCTCAGGCCAGTCAAAACCTCTCCCTCCCCTCAAAAGTAATTGTATCCTGACTTTTCTGTATTTCTTTGTATCTTTTTTTTTTGGTATTTCTTTGCAGTCTATTCACCCTGGTATGCATTCCTGGACATCATAGGTTAGTTGTATTTTTTGTGTCTTAAACTTCACAGGTTTCTCCCCGATCCTTTTCTTTTCCTCGTGATTGATCTGTTGAAAAGCCTGTTGAGCTGTTGAGTTTCCCACACTCTGGGTTTTGCTGATGGCATACATATGGCGCAGTGTAACACGTCCCGTGTCTTCTGCATTTCATGCAAATTGGCATCTACATGCAGAGGCTGGATCAGACTCTGGTTTGATCATTTTGGAGAATCTGTGGGTAGTGTTGTGGTTTTTCACCCTGAGATGCACGACGTCCAGCTGTTTCTCCTTGTGTTATGCTTGCAGCCACTGATGCTAATGCCTCGTTCTGTTTATTTATTGGGGGTTGCAAAATGGTGGTATTCTAATTCTATCATTCCTTCTTCATTTATTTGCTTTATTACTTCCATAAAGAGACACTTTCCTTCATTTACCAGTGGATTACCCGGTGGTAATGTGGAAAGGCAGGATCAATATTGGACTCTCCTTTTATTTAGTTATTTAGAAAAACTCAAACTGTTTCTCCTCTGCTCTTATGCAACAGCAATCATCAACACAGAAGACTTCTGTGACCAAATGTAGGGATTTTTCCCTCACACGGCAAACAGCGGACACCAGTGGGTATCCTCTAATTCAATTCTACACTCAACCTGGGGTAGCATCACCCGCAGGGTGAGGGCTCAGTCCCTGAGACTGTGGCCCCCACTCTCAGACACCAATTATAAGTCCAGGCCTCCGGAATTTCTGAGCTACCAGCTTCAAGTTGGGGTTCCCACAACACCCTCTTTGGGTTTGATTCATTTTCTGGAGCAGCTCACAGAACTCAGGGAAATGCTTACATTTACTGGTTTAGTACAGAGGATATTGCAAAGGAGACAGATGGAGAGATGTGGGGGGCAAGGTATGGAGAGAGGGGCTCGTGGTGTCCATGCCCGCCCTGGGCACACCCCGTCCAGGAACCTCCACGAGCTCAGCTCTCCGGAAGCTCTCTGGACCCTGTCCTCTTGGGTTTTTATGGACAACTGTGTGGCAGTGTCATTAGCCTCCGGGGAATGGTGCGAGACCCTCTCTGGAATGAAGGTCTGAGGACCCACAATCAGAAAGGTGGGGTAAGATTAGAGTCCTGCCTCTGGGCAGGTGAAAGGTGGGCGGGAGAAGGCCAGAGAGATTCTGGCTCCCGAGGCCTAACACAGCCAACATTGTAACAAAAGACTGTAACGAGGGCTGTGGGAGTTACAGCTGGAAACTGTGGATGAAAACCCATATCTACATATAACATCACCCCGTTTTTCAAGTTAATGAATCAGTTTTCTACTATGATCCACAGGTGACTAATCAGATTTTACTTTTCGTTTTTTGTATTATTATAAACTGAAGGATTTAAATATATTTAATTGGGTTTAATCTATTGTAATTTATATCCCCGTTGAAGCTCAAATTTCTTCAAGTGGCTACTTGAAGAAGTTTCCACTTGCCAAAAATGAAACTGAATCGCTTTGACGCAAGCCTTGTGATAGTTTCTTTGTTACCTGGTATGACAAGATGTTTCTGGCTCATCCTGTGCATTTTCTGCCTAGATCTGGAATCAGCCATTTTTCCAGAAATCCCTGGTTTATTTTAGGGCGAAGTGTCATTTAAGACCATAATCCAGAGTTAGTGTGCTTCATCCTGCTCAACCTGCAGGATGGAGTTTTTGGAGTTGCCCCAAAAGCCGCAACAGGGGAGTCCTCACGGTGCCCTCAAACATTGCAAGATGGGCCAGCTGGGATTCCAAAGAGAGAAACACCAATGCCAGGGTGCCCGGTCCACAGCATTTATTAGGGAACTTACATATGGAGTGGGCTGCTGAGTCGTAGCCTGGGACAGTGAGAGAAAAAAGGATGCTCTGCCTAGGTCTGTCCGCAGCGAGGGGTCTGGGTATGGAGTCCATGTGAGAGTTTAAGGAATTTGGCTCAGGGCTGGGACCAATTTCTTTCAATGTTTTGGGCAACAATCTAGATACTTTTATCAGCCTGGGAATGTTCAAGGCCTGGGTTTGGGTTCAAGCCTGCAGGGAAAAACCTGCAGCCGGCTGGGTCATGGAAGGGTCAAGGCATTCTGATTTTTCGGTCAGGACACAGAAAGAAAGCAGGGATTGGCGGGGGGTCGGGGGGGGATAGGATGGGGCCTCTACGCAGGGACTGGTCATCATGTCAGGCTTTTTCAGTGGAAATAAAAATATAACATTTAAATATGTATAAATGAAAAAAATTAATCTCTCCTAGATTACATCTGCATCTCGATCCTTTTCTTTTTCTTTTCTTTTTTTCTTTGAGACAGTCTTGCTCTGCTGCCCTGGGTAGAGTGCCGTAGCATCAGCCTAGCTCACAGCAACCTCAAACTCCTGGGCTCAGGAGATCCTTCCGCCTCAGCCTCCTGAGTAGCTGCGACTGCAGGCATGTGCCACTATGCCCGGCTAATTTTTTTCTACATATTTTTAGTTGTCCAGCTAATTTCTTTCTATTTTCAGTAGAGACGGGGTCTCACTCTTGCTCAGGCTGGTCTCAAACTCCTGACCTTGAGCGATCCTCCCACCTAGGCCTCCCAGAGTGCTAGGATTATAGGCGTAAGCCACCACACCTGGCCGCATCTCGTTTCTTTTATATCAAAAATTCTGGTCTTCAAGGACACAGGGAAAGACACAATTAGAATGTCCATACTCATTCATTTGCTTCCCCTGAATTAACACACGCACGTCTAAGGATACAGCACTCATACCATCAATACTGCCAAAATGGTTACTGAAAACACTGGAATTTTTTTGCTTTTGTTCTCCCCATGATCCCTCCTTTTATAGTTGTACTGTAACTATATTAATGGATCATACACCATTACATAGGATACTTGGTCTCTTTTTCGTCTTAGTTCTGTGAGTAGTGACATGTTTAACGCTCAGCATCATTTCTTACGTCGATGTCCCTATTGTAAGGTGGTTTACAAGGGTTCGTCCGGGGACCTCTGGGACCCTTCCAAGGAGTCTGGGAGGTCAAACTGACTTTGTAATAATACTAACATATTTTTTGTTCTTTTCTCTGTGTTATTTGCATGGCGGTACAAAATCTGCAGTGGGTAAAACTGTTAGTGCCTTAGCATGAATCAAGGCAGTGACACCAAGCTGTGCACATAGCCATATTCCTCGCTGCTATGCAAGTGTTGTAGAAAATGCCAGTGGCCTTGATGAAGTGATAAAAATCATTGGTTTTGCTAAATTCCAAACCTTAAGTACGTATCTTTTTAATATTCAGTGTAACAAAATAGGCAGCATTTCTGATGCGCACTGATGGGAAGGCAGTTAGTTATCTTGTGGAAAAGCACTTTTATAACTGCTTGAGTTGTGAGTGGAGCTAGACATTTCTTTGTTTTAATGGATTACATTTTCCTTGACAATAGAATCACTGAAAGATACATTATGGTTATTCAGATGTAGGTATCCGGTAGACATTTTCTCAGAATGAACAAAATAAGCCCATTACTTTGAAGAAAATGATATTCACAGTGAAAATTAGAATTTCAAGAGAAAATTAAAATTTTGGAAAACTTGTGTTTGCCGCAGCTTCCTACTACTTAAAAGATTTTTCTGATGAGATTGGTGGTGGTTTTAAACAAATATGGTTTTTCAAATGTTGCTTAATGAAATGTGTTAACACAATACTTTATAAATGATCAATGCATGATATTGCAAAATCAGACATGGATAAAAGATCAATGTAACATGCAAGATAGATCAATGAATTTTAACATAACAGAATATGAAAAGTTAATTGATAAGGTTTCAGATTCCACACGGCAATTAACCTGTAAGAATTTACCATTTTTTGAGTTTTGGTGTCTTATCAAAGAAGAACATCCACAACAGCTGAAAAAGCTGTTGAAATTTTTCTCTTCTTCCCAACTATATATCTGAGTGAGGCCAGGTTTTCCTCATGTACTTCAGTCAAAACAACCTATTGTTACAGATTGAATGTGGAAGAATATATAACCAAGCTATCTTTATTAAGCCAGACATTAAAGTGATTTTAAAAATGTAAAACAGTTCTTTCTTTTTCACATTCTTCTGTGCTGGAAAATTCTGCTATTTTCTATAAAAATATTCTATGTCAACAGATAATGAGTTTATTACTGTTATTTAAAAACAAACAAATAAATATGAATGTCACTTGAGTATCCCATGTAAACTGAAGCTCCTTGGAGTTCTCAACAATTTTTTAAGAATGTGAAGGGATCCTGATACCAGAACATCTGTAAACTACAAAGTAGTCGCTGTGGTTGTTTGAAGTTCTTTCTCTAGTAGCTTCCTCAGGAACCGTGTAGGCAAGTGTCTTTGTCTGGGCTGCTATAACAAACTACTACTACTGGGTGGCTTACAAACAGCAGAAATGTGTTTCTCACAGTTCTGGAGGCTGGAAGTTTGAGATCAGGGTGCCAGCGTGGTCGGCTTCCGGTGAGGGCCCACGGACTGCATCTTCTGGCCAAGTCTTCACACAGCAGAAGGGGAGGGAGCTCTCTGGGGTTTCATTTATAAGGACCCTATTCTCAATAATGAAGGCTCAGCCATCATGACTTAATCACCCCCAAAGGCCCCATCTCCTAATATCATTACACTGGGGTTTAGAATTTCAACATATGCATTTTGGGAGGACACATTTAGTCCATAGCAGGAAGTTCTTGCATTTCATAGTTAAAAGTCAGTTTTGCTGGATATAAAAACCTTGGTTCTATTTT